TTATCACATTAACTTTCCAAATTAGAGATACCAAATATCTGTGGGTCGAGTCCAACTCACTGTGTTATATATGATTAGGATGGGTACACATTAAACCAATACATAAACGGGTCTCATGCGTAGGTTTCCCATCAATGGGTTAAAAAATTTAATTTTTGTTTGTCTATTATGAATAGGTTACCTTACCGGTAAAGGTCAAAATATTTTTGACCCATCACAAGACGACTCTAATGAGACAAGTAAACCCGGTTTAGCAGCTCTATTACAAATGCAACGATCAAATAACTATATATACAACTTATAACTATTTTAATTACCAAAAACTATAAATTAGAAATGTAATTTTTAAATGTAAAAAAAACCATATTAATCAGAGTTTATTAAACATAAAATAAAAGATTTTTTATTTTTTGAATGAATGTAAAATTAGATTCAACCAAAAAAGAGACCTTGTTCTTAAAATATATGCAACTTTAGATTGAAATAATTGCTTATAAATCTAGCATTTAGAGAAAACAGAAAGCTTAGTATCTCGAAGCCAACCAAGAGCTGAAGACGTCTCCTTTGAGTGAGCTGCAGCGGTTGCGTATATGTCGATCAATGAGTTAAATGAGCTGGTCCGTAGGCTGAGGATTTTCTTCGTGTCGTCTGCTGTTTCTTTCCAGCCAGAGCGAGTGAATTGTGGTCTGCAAAAGCATACCTTATAACATAGCGAACATTTGGAGTAAGTTGGGTCCCTGAGATGAGAGAGACGACATCCCAGAAAAGTGGAGTGTACTGAGCTTGCAATAGGCGAGATGTGAGATCGTGCCATACTTGTGATGAGTAGGGACATGAGAAGAATAAGTGCTCACGGGTTTCCCACGGGTCATTGTAGAGAGCACAACCGGCTGATATCCCTGAGTTCCAAGCGCCCATTCGATCCCCTATTGTAAGGCGGTTTAGAGTCGCCAGCCAAGAGATAAATGAGTACTTGGGGGTGGAGTTTGAAAACCAAATTCCTTTAGCCCATTGAATTGTTAAACCATTGTTGCGAATCTGAAGCCAAGTATCTTTTGTCGAGAAATGTGGCATGAACTTGTCACATGTACTACGCCATAGAGCCACGTCGGGAACCGCACGTAACCCATGACGGAACTTGTCCAACTCATCTTCAATCTGATTTAAAAGCCCAACACGGTGATGTCGACGACGCTGTCAAAGAGCATCAACAATAGTTGCAGAACAGGTGATTCCAAAGTCTATAAATCCCCTATCCCCTAGCGAGTCATGTAAAATGCCAAGGGAGCACCAATTATCAAACCAGAAAGAGGTAGTAAGTCCGCTGCGCACGTCCATACGACAAAACTCCTTGGCTTGATATCGATATTTAAGCAGTTTCCTCCACATCTAAGAACCCAAAGTTGTAGTATTTGGAACCGACCAAAAAGATTCATTCCGAAGTAACTCACGTTTGACCCAATCAACCCAAAGAGAATTTGCTGAGACAAGACGCCAAATGAGTTTGAAACAACTTACTTTGTTTGCCTCGACAAGAGACTTCAGGCCTAAACCACCCTCGTTTTTGGGTCGACACACATCTCGCCAAGCCACCTTTGCCTTTTCAGAGCTTAACTCAGGCCCAGACCAAAGGAAAGCTGAGCATATAGCTTCTATTTCTTTGATACAAGCACTCGGTAAACGTAATGCAGAGATCCAGAAGTTAGTCAAGCTGAAAATCACTTAGTTTAGGAGTTGCAGCCTACCAGCATAAGAGAGGAAGCGGTTTTTCCAAGAACTGATGAGCAAAGCATAAGTGAGTTAGCTTCAGATTCTTACACTTTGGATGGTAGCCAAATTGGTTATCCACAACCGCTTTATCTAGCATTTGTGACAAAACATTCATACTCATGACAAACAAGTAAGGCGAGAAAGAACAGCCCTGACGTAACCCCCACGTGCTTCTGAAAAACCCGGATAATTTACCATTTACTTGGACTGAAAAAGAAGCAGTAGATATACAGAGGTTGATCCAATGAATGAACTTTTCAGGAAAATTCAAAGCCCTGAAGATGTTGAGAATAAATGGCCATTGTACTGTGTCGAAAGCCTTAGAGATATCAAGCTTCATCGCTCATCGAGGAGAGATGTCGTCTTTGTGGTAATCTTTTACTAGCTCAGTGGCGAGAAGTAAGTTCTCCATAAGCAATCTATCTTGAATAAAAGCCGACTGGTTTGGAGCAACAAAATCAGAGAAAATTCTCTTTAGGCGATTAGCAATAATCTTGGAGATGGCTTTGTACAAGACGTTACAGCAAGAAATTGGCCGATAGTCCTTCATTGCTCTTGCATCTACTTTCTTTGGGATCAGAGCCAAAATAGTGGTGTTGAGACCTTTTGGGAGGAAACCATAGGTGAAAAAATATTTGACTGCTAGTATGAGCTCAGGCCCGAGTATATCCCAAGTTTCCTTGAAAAACTCCGTAGTATAACCATCTGTACCGGGAGCCTTATTCATCGGCATAGAGAAGATGACTTTTTTGATTTCCGCCTCAGAGACCTCAGCAATGAGCCGGTTTTGGTCATGGTCAGAACAGCGGAAAGGGATTAGAGCTCCTAGATATTCAACCGAGGCACTTGAGAAGTCAGATTGGGACGAGGTGAGAAGATCCGAGAAGAAGCGTATAGCCTCTGCCTTGATGTCGTCTGAACGTGTGAGAGTTACCCCCGCCGGATTAAGCACCTCATGAATTGAATTAAGAGCTTGTCTCTCTTTTACACCATTGTGGAAGAACTTATTGATTCGATCACCTACCTTGATCCAATGCAGTTTAGACCTCTGTTTCAGAAACTTCTCTTCTAGGCCTGCAACTTTTTCCCATCTTTCATATGCTTGAGTTTCTGCTCTGAGGTCTGGGGAATTTGAATTCGAGAGAGTGCGCAATTGTAACAGACAAAGATCGTTAGAAGTTTACAAAAGTTTTTATTAAAGGATTTACCACGGTTATGAACGGTTTAAAGAGATTTACAAGTTCTTATAAATGTTATAAAATGATTTACAAAAGTTTTCAAAGGTTTACTAAAGTTTTAAAAGGTTTTGGATGACTTTCAAAAGTTTTACAAGGGTTTTTAAAGGATTTTTTTAAAGATTTTAAAAATATTTCCAAGGTTTTTTAAAATATTTTAAAAGGAATTTCGGAAAATTTTGGGTGAAAAATTTAGGCGGAAATTTTTTAGTTGGAAACTTTTTTGCGGGAAAATTTGGCAAGAAATTTTTCGGAAGGAATATTCCTTTATCATGAGTTATATTAAAAGAGGGTAATTTAGTCATTTTGTACATAGAAAAGGGTATTTTTGAAAATAAACACCAATAGAGGGTATTTGTACAAAAGGGTAACCTAAAAAGGTTATTTGTGCAAATCCTCCATATTTTAAAAAGATTAATATTTTAAAAATTGGAATTTTAAAATAAAATAAAAAATAATAAGTTTTGCTATGCGGTGTAACCCATGGAAGAACCTCAAGAGAGCTCAAGACATAAAAGGTTATTTGTCATTTTTAGAATCGACAATAGCAAAAGCTAACGGATATAGATGATAATCCCCATCTTGAGCTGTAGCTACAAGCAAAGTTCCCTTGAATTTTGCCTTCGGGAAGGTACTATCAACAACAATCACTCTACGCATCAAAGCAAAACCTCTGAGTGACTGGCCATACGCTACAAACACGTACTTGAATTTATTACTCAAAAGATCAACGTCAAGATACAAAACAGATCCGGGATTTTTTTTCCTTGGTCATAAACAGCCACTTTGCAATGTTCTGATAACTGTCTTCATGAGTACCTCTAACCAAAAGTTCAGCTGACTCTTTTACTCTCCAAGCGTTTTTGTAGTTTATGTGAACACCGTAAGGCATTCTAACATTTTCTAAAATCTGTTTTGGCTTCAGTCCAGCCTTCTTCTCACCGTAATGACTACAAAGGAAAGAACCCAACAACTTTGCAGTAGCTTGACGGTGATTTGCATGCCTACATGTTGTATCATAGTTATGTTCATGAATGTAGTGCTTCACCACAAAAAAAAAATCAGAAGATTTCACCTTCGCTGCACGAAGTCTCCAGCTGCAAGTATTATCTAGACACCCCAAAATGTATCTAGTTTTTGTCTGACCATAATGACATGTACTCAAAATTACACTCAATCGCCAACTTTCTCATCCTCATCACTAAAGGCTCTTTATTAATGAAATGTTTTCCCACAAACATCATACCTATAAAATGTAGTTTACATTAATTTCTATTAGAGTTTAGTTTGAAAAGATTTCATGTGTCAAAAATGTATGATGTTTTTGTTTTTTTGGTGTATAGTCACTTGAGTGTAATGAGTATAGACTAAATTGCGTTTTTTTTGAAACAATAAACGATTAATATAAACGAAGGAAAAAAGAAAACGAAGATTTACAGTTTTAAAAAAAAAAAAATAATTATCCTGGATTAAAGCTTAGTTACTCTATAACTAGGTAAAGATTTCCTAATAGCCTTCCAACTTGGATATACAAAGGAAGACATTGTATTGTGTTAGTATATGTTTAAAGAATGGGCAGTTTTTAATAAATGGACGAAGGAGAAAATAATTGGTAACTAGTGTAACACGGAAGTCGATGTTCACTTTTAAACTGCATGTGACTCACTTGTTCATAGAGAAAGAAAAAAAAAAAAAAGTTTCTTTCTCTTTCTGTACATGGAAAGGGGAGAGAATATAAATGGGTATGAAATACTAAAAAGGGAACTTTACTTTGGTTTAAAAGAAAGAGATTTTAAAATAATCGGTAAGGTAAAAAATAAAAATAAAAATAAAAAGATTTGTACGCATGAGATCCGGGAAGTTTACCTAATCTTTTAATACTAGTATTAGGAAAATAGAATATGGGTGCGTTAATTACTCCGTAACCTAATAATCCTACCTACCGCACCCATCTTCTTTATAAACGTCCAAACGTCATTATTCTTCTTCCTCCTCGGTTTTTCTTATCAAACTTATTCTTCTTTTGTTTTGTGTGATGTATATCTTCTCTAGCTCCTAAAACGTTTTCTTTTTGTTTTATCAAGTCGTGTTCCTTATTTCTGTATCTATTTCTTACGTTTGAAGTTGGCTTTCATATCAACTTACTTAGCTTCTATGGCGAATCTCAGATCCGGTGAGCCAGCGGTTGGTTGGTGTAAGCTTATATGGCCAACCCCAGATCTGGTGGTCCGATTGGTTGGCTAGGCCAAGTTTTTTTTAGATTGTTTATATAAACTCCTTTTTGCCTTTAACATTTTGTATTTTCGCTCTTAAATCTTCTTCATATTATCTAGCATACACTAACGTTAGGCTAGTCTGCTTAAATTAGGTTTCGAATTAGATCTTTTTTGTTCGATTGATTGGCTTAAATCAATGGTCAACCCCGGATCTGATGATCCAAGATTGGTTTGTTTTATGCTTTAGCCATCATATATAATCAATCATATATAATCAATAGGTTTTTTTAAACTATGTTTTTTACTAGGTTTCGAATTTGATCTTTTGGTCCGATGTTTTGGTTCTCACTTAAACTAGGTTTCGATTTTGATCTTTTGGTCCGATTGATTGGTTTAACTCCATGGTCAACCCCGGATCTGATGATCCATGATTGGTTGACTTATATGCATTAGCCATCATATATAATCAAAAGGGTTTCCAGCTAAGTTTCTGAGTCCCCTTTTTTTTTTTTTTCTGTTTTTTTTTTTTGTTTGTTAAAAACCAACAATTTAGATTGTGTATACCGTTTGCTAGGTTTGGGAATTTGATCTTTTGGTCCGATTGATTGGTTTACCCATCCACGATTGGTTAAGCCAACCGATGTAACTGTTTGCTTGTTTCTTTTTTTTTTTTTTCTTGAATTGTTTCATAACACAAATCTAAGCGTAACAATTGCGTTTAAACCTTTGCTTAATCTTCTAATTAGTTCATTTTGTCCGGATGATTGGTTTGTCAATCCCATAATCCACGATTTATTAAGCCAACTAATATAATCGAAAGGTTTTTGTTTTTGTTACTATATATAAACCCTTCAAGTTCAGGTTAACTAAACCCTGAAACCCTATTCATCGCTCTCTGCATAAGCCAATGGCCGATTCTGATTCTCCAGATTTCCCCGCTTCTGATCCTCCAAATCAAGATCCCCTCGCATCTATTGGGACTATCGATCTGAAAGATGGTAAGATCTTACTCTCTCTTTTTTGTATTTTGTTTTTGTAGATTGTGAGATCTGAAATTCTTGTATTTCCTCTTACAGTCCAGAGGAATATTTCTCCCGTGATTTTTAAAAAGCTTCAAGACATCCGGATCAAAAATTTCAATGATCTGTCGCTTCTACTAATGTTTGAGGTGAGCTTTTTCTTTGAATCCGGTTGGAAATTTCTTCGAAACCTGTTATTTTTTCTGTTGATTTAGAAATCTGTTGTTTTCTGTTGATTTAGAAAACCTAGGAACTTGATTTTGAAATCTGTTGATTTAGAATTTCTAGAATGAGCTGCTGTTGCTAGTTCCAACCGGTTGTCATCATTTGTTTCTAATTTACAGGGTCTTGGTTCCGTTGTGTTGTCTGGTTTTACTTCAAAGGAGCGCACATCATTGATGGATAAAGTCCTACTCCTTTTTAACACTTATGAAAGTAAAGCGTACACATTTGCTTCTGAGGTCATTAAAAGTGCTCCGGGTGTGCTAAATGAAAATTACCCCCATGCATACAGTTTCAGCTGCAAGGTTGTAGGTAGGTTTTTTTCTTTCTTTGAGGTCGTACGTTTCGCAAGACATGCCTTTAAGGATTCTCCACGTTTTGTTGTTTCCATCGCCGCTTACTCTCATCTTATTAAGAGTTATCAAGAGACCCATTTGAAGCGCTGCTACAAGCTGATAACTCAAATCAGAAAAGTGGAGAGAGACAGAGAATCAATCACGCCATTTCTCACTCGCATTCAGACTTACTTACCTAATGTCACTAATACACTCAATCAGATCAGTAACACCATAATAACAAAGGCTGCGTGAACTACTTGTCAGTCCACTATTGATGGTGTGGAAAGTAGGTTGGGTTCTTTACTTGCGGAGCTTCGACAATCACTTCAAGAAAGAAGTGTACCTACTGTTGTGGTGAGTTCAGATTATCAGCAACAGAAGCTTATGCTTGAAAACATTTTGAACGAGATGGCTAAAGCTAAACAAGTTGGGCAAGTTTCTGATCTACTGATAAAAAGATTTCCAGACGGTGCCATGGCGAATTCTTTCGCTTTGAAAGTTACTCAGTTACTGTCAGCTGAAGGTTCACCTGTCAGTCAACTGAATTCCAGTATTCAGAAGGTATTCATTTTTTGTAATTCTTGTTGTTTCTGTTTATGTTATGTTTATATTCCTGTCTGTTTATTTATGTTTCTTTTGCAGCTTCTTAAGAAGTCCAATTTGATGCCTCCTTCCCTTAAAACAAAAGGTGATGTCACACGTACTGGCCAATCCATAGCAGCTGCAGAAGGTGATGTTAAGCCTACTGGCCAATCCATATCAGCTCCTTTCACATTTGTTGTCACAGAAAATATCAGTGTTGCAATGACACGAAATGGTGTGGTCAAGCTCTTTGACTTAGATGGGAGTCTGTCACTTCAAATTCTTAGCCAAGATGGATCTGTCCATAAAGTCAAGGTACGGTACTCTAATTGTTCTCTCTTAACTTTTACAATATTTTTCAACACATCACTTTCGTCTTTGTATGAACTTATCTATTTTTTACTTTTCTCTTCAGATTGAAACAAGTGGAAATTGCAAAATTCTATTCAAGACTCATCCCAGCATTGACCGAAAAATCTTTAATGATGAGAACCTTCTAGTGCTGAAGAAACCTGGCCAACCATTTCACACTGGTAAGGGTGGAGATGGTGTTTGTCTTCTCAAGTGGAGAATGCAAAGAGCAGAAGGGTCAAAGGCTGTGGAGGTGCCACTAACAAGTAAGGTTTTGGGGTGTCTTGTCTTTAAATATATATGTTTGTCCCATTGATGCAAATTTTTTTGGACTGGTGCAGTCAGCTGCTGGCCTTCTGTCTCTGGAAATAAGATGCATGTCAGCCTCGAGTATGAAGCCTCAGAAATGTTTGATCTGACCAATGTTATCATCTCCGTACCACTTCCTGCTCTGAGAGAGGCACAACCAAGCGTTACACAATGCGATGGGGAGTGGAGGTTTGAAATTTAATTAGTCTTTTTCAAGGTAGTTAACTTTTACATGAAACTCATTTCTTTAATTAAGAACGGTCCATATCTATAATATCAGGTACAGCCCAGAAACATCAGTTATCGAATGGACTATATCTTGTATTAAACCATCTTCCATGGGTTTGATGGATTTGGTGATTCCAAGTATGGAAAATTCAACATCGGATATATTTTATCCCATTGAGGTAAAATTTGCGTCAACCACCTCGTATAGTGGCTTGAAGGTATGAGTCTTGGTCTATTTTTTGGTTTATATCAGAATTAAGGTAGAAATTACAAAAGAGTTGGTTTATGCTTCAGGTGACTCCTCTAAGCAGTGATGGTGGTCTGAGTTCAAGGTTTGTGCAGAGTACGCAGCTAATTGCCCAGAGTTATCAAGTTGTTTGAGACAGCTTTATCAGCCATTTTCTTGCTTACACTTTTATCAACTTGTTCTTTTTATCAGCTTGCTCTTACACTTGCTTTATCAACTCTTTTTATCATCAACTCTTGCTCAGCTTGCTTACAAGTGTAAGCAACTCTTGCTATTATGCATATTTAATATCATCAACTCTTGCTTTGACAATATACATATTTTCTGGGATTTTGCTTGCTTTTATCTTCTTTATTAAACAAATTTAAAAACAGTTTGCGAGTACACGCACACCAAATCAATCTTGCATTTGCAAATTCTTTCAGTAGGAACCATATTCGAAACAACTCCTAATAGCCTCCAATACAATTACAAATAACAATGGGGCAAAGATTAATCCACCAATGACAAAACTATATAATCCAACAAACCAATCTTTGTATTTCTAACTATATTGTTTTCTCACAACTGAACGACCAGAGATCATCACCTTGGTGGTTGTTGTGTTTGGCCATCATCCTCTTCTTCCCAGTATGTCTCCACAACCTTCAAAGCCTTCTCGTAGATTTCCTTGCTTTCGTTGCGTTGCCGGTTCGTAGCCCTTTGGCATCTTCAGTCAGTTGACAATATGAATTGATGTCTCCGGTGTTCTTCTCCACCTCTCCAGCCATCGAAATCTTTTCCAATCCATTTTGACACGCTGATCCTTACATCTGGACATTCCAGGAGATCACGTAAAAGCTTTTCTGCAACTACAACAATAGAAATTGTGACTTGTGATGATCAATAAGCATGTTAAAAGTGAAACTTGAACTTGAAGTCTGAAATACATGACCACCTTGTCCATGAGGTTGTAGTATTTCCACTAACCCTTGTTCTTCATCTTCCTCTTCAAGCCAGTATGTTTCCAGAATCTTCACAGCCTTCTCGTAGATCTCATTGTTGTCATGGTGCTACAGGTTCTCAATCTTTTTTACCCCTTCCTCATCTTCAATCATTTCACAATAAGAATTCACGTCTCCTCCTGTGTTCTTCTTCCCCATCTCTCCAGCCATCAAAATATTTTCCAGTCCATCTAGAAACAAATACACTAGGATCATTGTTATATCTGAACACACCAGGATGTCACACAAAGGCTTTATGCAACCCTGCTTCACCAAGTATCTGAATCATGACACCAATATAGAGTGTTAATTGATGATCAAATAAGCATCTTAAACTGAAAAAAGAGACAAGACAAAGGATGTACTTGATTTGATTAGGAGAACAACATATGATGGAATTTGAAATTGCCCATATAGCTTCGTTCTTTATTTCAAACTCAGCTTTTTGAGCCAGTTTGAACAAGGTTGGAATCAATTTTGCATCAATAACTGACTCATAGGAAAGAAAAGACAAACAGAAATTAGTGATAGCAACAGAAGGGTAAATTTGTATAAGTCTGCAACTACAACAATCAGAAACTGATGGAACTGATAAAGCAACAAAAACTTCTCACCTGAATTTGTTCTTCAAAGCCTGCAGTCATGTTTGAAATCGCCCAAGCTTCCCTCTTAACGCCTATTGTATGGCTTTGAAGAAGCAGGTTGGCAAGAACGGGTACAGCACCACAGTTGATCACACACTGAGGAATAAGTACAAAGATTTATTTCAGAGCTCAAGCAAAGACATCTTCCACTTCGTAGTTTCATTACAAACTTTAATCTCAACATTGTACTCAAGCAACTTATAGTAAAGTGTTCTCCAGGCTCTGCATTCTATTATTGGATAATAAACCAAGCTTTTGATATTCCTATAGTAATATATCATCGAAGATATAGGATAATAAAACAAGTTTTTGATAAAGCCTATTACTTTAAGAAACTATTAATTCACACGGTGGATAACAAAAGTGTTCTTGAAAGTTCCATAAATGGAATATGAATTACAAACCTGGGTCTGCTGTTGATTTCCAGAAACTATATTCCCAATGGTACGAAGGGAAGGAACACGTACAATTAAAGAAAAGGGTCTGCAAAAGAAAAAATGTCAGCCTTCATTATCTAAACCTGTAGTAACACCAGGTTAAATTTGTATTTTGGAGAACTACTAACTGGATTAGTTCAAGTAGTCTTGGGACAACACCAACCTCGATCACACTTTGGATATGTTCATTTGAACCATCAGACAGATTCGCAAGTTCCCAGCAAGCATATACCAAGACATTTTCATCATTCGAATGAACAAGTCGTTCAAGTGCAGGGAGAGCAGGTTTCACCTGTTAATCATATATTTCATAAGTTAAGTACTATTGCACGTACACAAACTAAGCAAACAGAGCCAGGAGATACAGAGAGAGGGAGAGAGAAGTAAGAATACGAGGTCAAAGGATGGCGAAGGCTTGCCACGAAAGAAGTTTGATAAAGTCCAAGTGGCATTTCTAAGTATCGACAGCTTAGCATTCTTATTCAGCTGATGCAACAGTGGAATCAATGCCCCAGAGTTAAGAACAAAGTCACGGCATTTAACGAATCACCAGCAACATTACCCAGTCCCCATATAGCCTGAAAATTAAGTGTAACATCAAACGTATTTCAGAATTCGAACTCAAATAGATCATAAGCATTCATATTCACAAAAGCTCTAACTATACCTGCTCACGGACATCATCATCAGGGGAAGCAAGAAGCTGAACAAAGAGTGGAACAGCGCCAAGATCAATCAACACTTTGGTATGCTCAGATGTCCCAGAAGTAATGTTTGTTAAAGCCCAAGCCGCCTCAAACTACAAAAGATCACTGATTTCAGAACCAAAGATTACACTAATCATCAAAAGATATGAGCTTTTCTGCAAACCTGAAGCTTAGGGTAATCATCCTTCTTAAGAAACTCAACAAAACGTGGCAAAACCCAAAGCTTATTAAGCTTAGCTTATTAAGCTTTATGGGTTGAAGTTGAAGTTGATCTTCGCTCAGCTTATTAAGCTTTATGGTCGCCTTCATCTCTCTGATGGAGCCTTGCCGTATACCCTGAAGAAGAACCTTTTTATGTCCTTTACAAAACTGCATCACTAACTTCTTAAAATCAAAAGTTATTGGCCCCAATGTCTCCAACCACTGAACGCCTAACACTATATCACACCCATGCAAGGGCATGACCATAAGATCAGCTTGAAATTGTGTGCCCCTAAAATCCCATTGAAACTTATCTATGGCAGCATCAACCCTCAACATTCTCCCATCTGTTACTGACACTTGAGCATTTGCAGATTTTAAAACACAATTAAACTTCTCAGCTACCTTAGGATCCATGAAGTTGTGTGTAGAATCCTTGGCAATGAGTATAGACAATACTTGCTTCCCATAAGAACCCTTCACTCTCATCGTTCTGTAATCAAAGACTCCTGAAATTGCAGTAACAGATATATGAGCTATAACTTTTGTTTCCATCAATTCAACCTTCTCCACATGTATGCCTTTCAATTCCCCACCATCATCTTCAACTTTGAATTGTGATTTTTTGTGCTTGAGATAGTATACTGGAGTGTACTTCTCATCACCAAAATGACACATTTCTTTAGCCCTTCGCTTACTCCTCTCTGCAGTGGGAAAGACTTTGTGAGGCTGCACTTTAATACCTGCCACAGTAGTAAGAAGAACTTTTTTCGGATCAGGCTTTGGTTTAGATGATAAAATCCCTTTAAACTGACTGCTACTTCCACTCATTTTAGAATCAGACATATTGCTACACTGTTCTTCGTAGAATGAGCCTTGTCATATAATCTCCCTAACATCAAACATTGGCGGATTGAACGAGGTTGAAACATTCTAACATTTACTTGAGTATCACTTCTCAGCCCTGTTAAGTAAACATCAACCAAGAAATCTTCAGATAATTTCACTTTGATGCTAATCAACTCAAATTGAGCATGATACTCTCTAATTCCTTCTCTTTCCTGCAACTGTTTCAGCTCTGCAATCACATCATCCTCCAACTTATAATATTTCCCTGGCAACAACATTTTGTAAATTCCCCAATGATACGTAATCATCCTTCTTAAGAAACTCAACAAAACGTGGCAAAACTCCAGATTGTATCACGTGATCGATAGGTGGACGTCTATCTGAACAAACAAACGAGAATACAAGAAACCATTCGAGTAAATAAATGATAAAGGTCGTACCTTTTCAAATCGATATCAAGAAAAGTTAAAGAGTTTACCCAATGATAGAACCATCCTGAACCGGGTCGTAGACTCAAGCCGCAACGAAGGATCATCCGAGAAAACCCCAGCGATCATATTCGAAACCTCCAACTACACAACCCATCACCGCCACCATAAATCGAATTAACCCCCAAATCAATTTAAAAACCTAAACTTTCACTAATCCAAAACCAGAGATCGAGTGCTTATACCAAACTCTCAAAAGGGTCATCGGAATCAGAAGTCAAATCTTTAGAACCGTCGCGGCGTCTCTTCATCAAGCTTTCCTTGCGTTTGTTCTTGCGAATCCCGACTAAAAAGTCTTCTCTTCTTCTGCGCCCTTCTTCCGCATCAACAGATACCTTGTAACGGCTTCGATGAATCTCTGTTTTCGCGCTCGGTCGCAGCGACATGTGTCTCTCTCGCTCGCTTCTCTCTCTCTCTCTCTAATTTAGTCTAAACCGAACTAAACCGTGAAGATGGTTAGTGTATTTATCGACATTGAAAAGAAAAAACCTTTGATCATATTGGAAGCAGAGTAAACTGTAAAAGTGTTTTCTCCGGCGGAACTCGTATGCAAGTGAGCTTTTTCCCGCCTTGGCAAGGTAAAAAATCGCTTCTTTATCCTCACAGTTCAAAAATGTCTCGTTTACTGAAAACTTTTCTAGGGTTTTGCTGTGTCCATCTAATGAAAAACACATTCTCTTTCAAAAAGCATTCGCCATATCAGTCTTCCATGAAACTGAGCTTTTAGAGTTTATGAATTTCACTAATATAGTTTTGTGTTTTTAGTTTCCTGTAGAAATTTTTTACCTTTACCATTCTTCCATGGCGTATTATTATGGTTATCTTATGAAATTGGGCTTTAGGGTGTTCTCGATTCCTTTAGAAAGCATTCTCCTTTATCGCTTTTTTTGAACTTTTTCTGCAGGTTTTGTAGTGCTCTAGTAATGGATACCAGAAAGATTCCAGTGTTGTGTTATTGGAATGGGTTTATAAAAGATGGTCATGATGGTCCATTCTCTGAAGGATCCAGTTCCGAGAGTTATTAGAGTTGAAAGCAACACTGATTTCCCCAAATTGTTAAATCATCTGCATCGTGTTACCGGATTTGAAAAGGGGAAGTTTCAGATTGGATTGATTTGCAGGTATCCTTCTATCGTTCAGCAATCTATGGTGAAGTTTGTGCGTATGCCTATTGTTGATGATTGTAGTTTAGAGACTATGCTTGAGGTTCCAAGTTATCATCCTTCTATTAGCAACGTGGAGTTGTATTTAGAGGCCAAACAGGTTCTTAATGAAGGTATCAGCGCTATTTCTAGTTCCTTGGCTAATCAGGCTACACGGAATCGTTCTCGGCAAGAGGATGGTAGTATCGATACAGATGTAAATGTGAGTGTGAAATATATAACACTCTAAGAACACCTCAGGAGGATAACTATAACAGGTGGGTGGAAGAAGAGGAATGTACGGATTGCGGTAAGTGTAACTGTGGCGATGGTGGTAATAGTGGGACTGCACAGAAGGATTCAAATACGAAAATTCCAGGTTTAACAAAAAGCCTTGTAGATAATGTCTCAGAGCAGATGATTTTCTCTAGTTCATGGCTTGATGAACGTGAGTTGCATCTTGGGATGGTTTTCCGAGATAAAAACGAGTTGGGTAAAGCAGTGAAGTTGTACTCTAATCGAAGACAGCGGATTTACACTAAGTACGAGTTTTCAGGTATTTATGATTATAAGTGCATGAATAACTGTGTATGGATTCTAAGTGCAGCAATAGCTTTAAGATAACAAAATATATAGGTCCACACAGTTGTAAGCCAGCAAATGTGAGCTCAGATTTTCTAGCAGGTGAGCTCAAAGGTCTAATGATGGCTCAGCCCTCACTCTCAATTGCAGAGCTAAACTTGTGGGTGAAAGAAGAATTTGGCTACACAGTCTCACGTACCAATATGTGGGATGCTAAAAAGAAAGTAATCACTGCAATCTTGGGAGATTCAGACAAGAGTTTTAACGTATTGCTTAAGCTCATCTAACAAGATGGTCTTGGAATGGCAATATGATTTTTTTTTTTAATCCCAACGATGCATTCTTTTCGCTCTGTGTTTTGGGCGTTTCGGCAGTCAATTGAAGGTTTTGCACACCTCAGACCTTTGATCATAGTGGATACAATAGACTTGAATGGTAAATACCCTGCAAAAATGTTGGTTGCAGGGGCCTTTGATGCTGAAAACAGGCTGTTTCCACTTGCATTTGCAACTACTACCCTAGAGAGTTTATCAGCTGATACCTGGCGTTGGCTCTTTGCTTGCATCAGAAATAAAATAACGCAACAGGAAGGCCTTTGTCTAATAACAAGTCTGAATCCTGAAATAGTTGCAGTTGTTAACGAACCTGTGTGTCAGTGGGCGCAACATCGGTTCTGTCTTAGGCATATGTGCTTCAAATTTTATGATGTTTTCCATAACAAGCTCATGACAGATCTGCGAGGGACATATCAAGTTTTGATTACTACTTGAAGAAAATCTAAAAGATGGACCCAGATGTTAGGAAATGGTTAGAAAGAATGCCTCCACGTCTATGGGCTCTGGCTTATGATGATGGCGGGATTAGATACGGGATCATGACTGCAAACACAATCTTTATGACTTATGGTTTCATAAACAAAGCTCTTGATTTTCCAATCTCAACCTGCATCTTGCTAAACTTTGATGACCTGGCAGAGCTTTTAAAATCTCGACATGGTCTTTCAGCGGAATCACTGAACAGAAGAGACCTATACGCTAAACATGTCATGAAAAATCTTGAAGAGTACAAGGTAGCTTCTCAAACACATGATGTACTGCCATTATACCAGACCGGAGAGAGTTTTCAGGTGACGGAAGTGATGCAAGTTGAAAAGAAGGGATTTGTTGTTCATTTTATAAACCGGGTTTGCACGTGTGGGATATGGCAACTTTGCAAGTATCCATGTTCTCATGTGTTAGCAGCATGCAGGAGGATGAACAGTGACCTTTTGCAGTATGGAAATGATTGTTACAATACAGAGATTTCTCTTCGAGTTTATGCAGCTGATTTTAATCCGCTTCCGGGAGTCTCTAATTGGCCAGAAGCTTCTGAAGTTCCAAGACTGCTTCCTCCTGGACTCGTCCGCCATCAGTTTTCTGGCCAGTGACAACAGAGCCATCACACAACGACACAGCTACAAGCAAGTCGGTAATAGGCAAAAAAACGATCCAATGGTAAGAAGAAAGAGGCCTGTGGATCAGACTGAATTTGAACCAACCGAACTAAACAATAAAAGAGGGTTATGTTCTCTATCTGATTTTACCTTGACTTTAGTTTGGTCTGCTTTGAGTTTAGGGGACACTATCGGATTTATGAGAAGCGGCTTCGAACCATATAGAAACGATTTTACTATGGAAAATATGCAACCAGTTTAATGTAGGATTTGGGAGGGTGTATAAAACTGGTTTGGTTCAGACTCAGAGTTGTTCATTTACTTTTGTATTGCTTATGTGAGATATACTCAAAATAGTCTTTCTCATAGGATTGTGTGGCCTAGACTCCAAATTTAATAGAGAAGCAGTCTTAAACATCATGCAGTTATGATCATCACACTTTACGCTTTAATTCGATGTGCAAGTATTAGTTTCTTTGATCTTTTTGTCTGCTGAATTAACATTGTTACCTAGTATATCTTATCTACTATATAGTGTACATTATACTATATATTTAAGTTGCTTTAAAGAAACAAGCTATTCCAGAGATGTCGACTCATATCTAATGGTCGCAGGAGCTTCTCGAGCTACCCTAGCCATCCGATTAGTCGGCGATCTTGGAGGAGATGCATATAGAACTGATGCCTCGAGGATTTCTCTATGTGTATTTTCAAGATCCTTAGAGATTCTATGGGCTTGTAGAGCGGTTAGGTGAAGTCCTGTGGCTAGAAAGACGGTTAGAAGTGAAAACACTCCGACCGCTGAAAACAAGCCTTGCCGGATTACTAGAAAACTAGGTTTTGGCTTAGACCAGTTCTTTAGATGTCTTGATTCCACGCTTAGTGCCACCAACAACATAACCTCTCCAACACCAAAGTGAATCTTTATATAGACAATTAACAGTCAGATCATTCCACAATGTTTAAGCTTACCATCCAGAGGTTATAGTTAGGACTTTTTGTTGTTATTTTCAACATGACATAAAATGCTGCTTGAAACGTGAGCCTCTTGGCAGGAACAGAGTCAGGATCCCACTCAACCGAAAGTAGTGGCGGCGATGTGGTGGCTACGATAAGTAAGTACATTTGCAAGCCTACCATCGCAACGGCGAGTCCTACAAACGCAATTGCACCGCACAGTGATGGTGTTTTCCCGCTACTGTTGTACACGCACGTTTTGCTTCCCCATATAGACTACATACAAAATGGGAATCATTGACAACATATTTTCGCCCGACCATAAAGTTGTGAGCTACAATTTTTCTACTGTTACAATCTAATATACATAGATTACTGACGTATCTTGAAAATATGATCAAAACATATGAGAAATCTTTATATACGTCCATAATAAGATACCTGAGATCTTGTGGCTTCGGCATAGAGGCAAAAAACAAAGCAGGAGTCAGGAGAGGCCAAAGATGATGGTCAAAACGACAACGAAGATACCAGTTTTGCTTCTGAGATCGGTGGTTTTGGGGTTTGGAACAAGATCTTGATGGGTCACAGCTCTTACTCTTGTTATCGACATGTCTCTCATCAATGCCTGGTAGATATGAATTAATGCTACATGTTTTTGAAAGTTAATATACTTTGATTTGTTTTACTCATATATGATAGTATAGAAAGTTGGAAGAAAAGAATAAAGTTAATATATTTGATGAATATATTATAAAAAGCCTTGGAGATAATGTCTCAGAGAAGATGGTTTTCTCTAGTTCATGGCTTGATGAACGTGAGTTGCATCTTGGGATGGTTTTCGGAGATAAAAATGAGTTGGATAAGAGAGAATTATTTAGATAGATTATATTTTAGGTGTATTGACCATAACCTACCAAATCTTTTTCTTTATTTTTAGATGTTTGTCATATTTTTTTAATTACCAGCATGTCCTTTTTACACGTTATAGGAAAAAATTAATTACGAAAAATGTCATCGCCACATAGGACAAAAAGGCGCGTGTCTCCAATAACTCAGCCATAACATACGTTACGGCTGAGTTATGCTACGTTACAGCTGAGTTCTGGAAAATGGCGGAGTTTCGGGCCAACGGCTGACTTACGATCATAACTCAGCCAATAATTACGGCTGACTTATAAAAATCTGGTTGAGTTATGAGAAAACGGCTGAGTTACGCGAATAACTCAGCCGCAGTTACGGCTGAGTTATATTCCGATGGTTGAGTTATCAGAAATTTGGCTGAGTTATGTCTTCGACACGGCTGACTTAACTTTCTCCGATGGGCTGAGTTATCGACAACGGCTGAGTTATCAAATGTCGTTATGGCTGACTTATGTTTCAGAGACATAACTCAGTCGTAATTGGCTGACTTAACGTAAAACTCAACCATGTTATGGCTGACTTATTGACGAAAGATTTATTAATAATATAGATTCCAGTTACGGCTGACTTATTTCACGTTACAACTGACTTATTGACGTTACGACTGAATTTGGCAGCTTTAAAAACATTATAGTAATTACTTAAATATTTTTCATGTTATGACTGATTTATTTTGGCTGAGTTACAAATTTGTTTGGTAACTGACTTGCGACTTCAAATGTATAATTCCACGTCATCATTCCATGTCATCATAAACGAGGGAAATACGAAAGGTCGCCCTCTTCAAACCCTGGTTTTTTTCTTTCTTTTCTTACACTCTGTTCTTTTCACCTGAGTTCTTCACCTATGTTCTTCATTTTCGTACATGGATCATCCAGTTCAATTAATTGTTGTTTCTCGTAATTGGGGAAAGACACCGAAATATGTATTTAACACCGACGATAGAGGGTTGTAGAGTTGTGCAGGTAGATGCAGAAATACCGCATGAGAAGCTAGTGAAATTGGTTTTTGATGACTACGGATTGGATGAGTTAAGCCATAAGGCAACAATGACCTACATGCTCTCGTACAAGGCTATGAAAAATATGTCGCATGATACTCCCCCAGTATATGTCTCGAATGATCAACAGTTGCAGTGTTATCTAAACCTATTGAGAAACGATCAGCTACAACTTTGTGTTGAGTTTTCGAAGACGAAGGACAGATCGAATGGAAGGACAAGACGGCCACGTAGTTCGGCTTCAGCCGTAGAAAATCTAGAAGACGATAGAGGATTTGATGGTTTCTGTTATGATTATAGTGAAAACCTAGAAGATGAAGTCATTGACGATGAAGCAGAGTACGAAGAAGAAGAGGAGGAAGAAGAAGATGATAAATTTTCAATCCGATTTGACGTTTTTGACGACTCTAATGGTGCGTCATCTGATGATGATAACTTTACTGTATACGGCGACCATCAAGAGAACGATGAAGATTTACCGGTTCCTACTCAAAACAAAGCTCTTACCTTTGGCAAAGTGGGATCGATTGGGAACTCAGAGTCTTTAAGAGTGGATATGTCTAAGCTAAACCTCGTCGTAGGACAACGATACGCGAGCAAAGACGAGTTGGAGAAACGACTGAAACTTCTTGCGGTGAGAGATAGATTTGATTTTTTTCAATACCAACATCAAATACGACTGTAGTGAATATTACGTGCTGGGTTGAAGGATGTCTTTGGAATGTTCGTGCATCTACACAAGGATATGAGCCTGGTTTTATTGTTCGTATATACAATTCGATACACACATGTTCTGTGACGGAGAGGTCTAATCGATCCAAACAAGCAACACCTGATGTTTTGTGAGTTCTTACTGGGACTTTCTTGGTGACATTGGTCCGTTAGTTAAACCTAAAAGTGTTGGAATTATCATCAGTATGCATTTTAGTATAAAGGTAATTACTATGTTACGGCTGATATATATTTACACTACAGAAGAGTTATATCTATTACGGCTGATTTATCTTTACTTGACGGCTGAGTTATTATTACGTTACGGCTGGATTATATTTATTTCGGCTGATTTATATTTGAGTCACGGCTGAGTTTTCTTTCCTTTACGGCTGGGTTTTCATTCTTTTACGGCTGAGTTATCATTATGTTACGGCTGAGTTTCGTTCCTTTAAGACTGACTTTTCATTTATGTTTCGGCTGATTTTAAATACATTAGCTGACTTATATCTAGTTACGGCTCACTTATTAATATGTTTGTGCCAACAGATGGATTATTGGAAGTCATACAAGACAGTAATGTTTGCAAGGCAGATCGATATGGGAACTCCTGAGGGAAGTTTTGGAGAATTGCCTTCCGACCTATACAATAACGCGTCTTCAAATTGATGAGTGTGACAGTTTCAAGTATGTCTTCCTTGCTTTTGGTGCGAGTGTTGCTGGGTTTGCTTACATGCGGAAAGTTGTTGTTGTGGATGGTATGTTTCTCCACTGTAGTTACAAATGGACGCTTCTAACAGCCCTAGCTCGGGATGGAAATTTCCAAATTTTCCCAATAGCTTTCGGTGTTGTTGACACTGAAAATGATGATTCTTGGCGTTGGTTTTTTACGCAACTCAAAGTTGCTATTCCTGACGACATGAATCATGCAATCATCTCGGACTGACATAAGTCAATAGGGAAAGCAATTGGTGAAGTGTATTTGTTGGCTTCTCGTGGAATTTGCACTTATCATTTGTACAAGAACAATATTGGTGAAGTTCAAAGGGAAACATTTGTTCCCACTTGTGAAAAAGCGGCTAGGTGTTTTCGGATGGTTGATTTTACACAGGCATTCAATGAGATTGAAGCGCTTCATCCTGAACTACATGAATATCAAAGAGTTGGGGTGCAAATGTGGGCGCGTGTACATTTCCCGGGTGAAAGGTACAACCTAATGACTTCGAATATTGTAGAATCTATGAACAAAGCACTATCAAATGGTAGAAGTATTCCCATGATTCGACTGTTAGAGTCCATACAGAATATGATGACTAGATGGTTTGGTGAACGAAGAGAGGATGCGAAATCACAGCTAACAACGCTTTCACGAGGTGTTGAAAAACTGTTAGAGGTAACTCAGCCGTAAACGTTACATAAGTTAGCCATAACATGCTTATAACTCAGTCGTTATTTATATAACTCAGTCATAACATGTTTACATTATTTATATAACTCAGCCATAACTTTTATGTTTTGCTCTTCCTCTAATAGGGCCGTGTAACTGTATCAAGACTTATGGAAGTACAACCGATTTATGCTTTATGTGTATAAGTACAATATGGAACATCTTTGCATGTTGTAAATTTGGATGCAAAAAGATGCACACACCGTCGTCTCGACCACGAGAAAATACCATGCGTCCATGCAATCGCAGCTGCAGAGCATATGGGTGTGTCTCGTATTTCCCTTGCCAATCCTACCTTCCGGAGCAATTATTTGGTTAACGCGTACGCTGATTCAATCATGACTTCGGATACTGCACTCCCTGTTCCTGAAATTGTAAACT